CCCATTGTCTGAGATGCACATCCTGCCTCTTGCCTGGCCAGAGTTATGTGCAACAGGGGCCTGTTTCCCACTCAAACTCGCTGTACCACCCTTTATGTGTCTGGGATCCAGCCAGGCCACCCAGGGCACTCAGTTTCGTATCTGGCCACCTATGAATCAAGCCATTTTTTCTCAAAATGACATCCCAGGAGGGCTCTTCTCAGGTCACTTGTTGCTGAGAGTAGAAAGGAAGGATGGTCTTGTGGCAAAGAAACTGACTAAATTCAACCCTTGGCTTTACTACAACCTTCCCGTGACCTTGGGCAATCCTATCTCGCTGCAGCTCAGCTCCCGGTCTGTGAAATCCTGCCCCACCCCCGGGTGTTGTGTGGGTAAATTCTTGTGGGAGAGGTGCTTAGATGTTATGAAATAAGAAAAGTGTCTAAATACGTAGGATACTGGAGAATAAAAGCTTTTTTAGCACACTAAGACATTGGAGTAAGGGAAATAAGTGGGAGAGTTCAATGAACAAACCACAAAGAATGAAGAGGATTATGAATTTGGGCAAGATTCTCAGACCTGAGGGCAGGTTGCCAACCCTCTAGGATTGTCCTGGAGTGTCCAGGAATTAAAGATTCATCTTTAATTAAAGATTATGTCATGTGATAAAACCTCCAGGAATACATCCAACCAAAATTGACAACCCTTCAATATGGCTGCATGCAAAGGCGGCTTGTGTGAGCCACAGCAAATTCTGCTGCAAGGGCCTTGCCCTCTGTGGCATTCAGTGCTGCAGATTCTGCAAACTTAAAAGTAGGAGGATGAATCCTGGCCCTGTCCACTGCTGTAACCAGCCAGCTGGGGGAGAGTGCCCCAGCCCAGGCACTGCCTCTCCCCCATGCAAGATACAAGCCCTCAGGCGGGGGGCATATTGGGGGTGAGCTAGAGGCAGAAGTGGATGGCGGCATAGACAGTACATGCTCTACTCTGGCCAGAGAAGTTGCCATAACTTGCAACCTGCCTGACGGCTGTTGATTTCGGAGCCTTTAGGTGAGCGGTTTTCAAACTTTTTTTTCTGGGGACCCAGTTGAAGAATATTGTTGATGCCCACGACCCAACATAGCTGGGGGTGAGGGGTTCAGAGTGTGGGAGGGGGCTCTGGGCTGGGGATGAGGGGTTTGGGGTGCAGGAAGGGGTTCCAGGTTTGGGGGGCTCAGGGCTGGTGATTGGGGTGCGGACTTACCTCCGGTGGCTCCTGGTCAGTGGCACAGCCAGGGTGCAGAGACAGACTTCCCGCCTGTCCTGGCACCGCGGACAGCGCTGCGCCCCGGAAGTGGCCAGCAGCAGGTCCGGCTCCTAGGTGGAGGTGCGCAAGCGGCTTTGCACGACTCTCACCCACAGGCACCGCCTCCCCGCCCCCAGTTCCCCAGAGCCGGTGCTCGGGGCAGGGGGCAGAGTGCGGAGTCCCATGGCTACCTTGCCTAGAAGCCGGACCCGCTGCTGGCCACTTCCAGGGCACAGCGCAGTGTCGAAACAGGTAGGCACTAGCCTGCCTTAGCCAGGCAGCACCACCAATGCAACTTTTAACGTCCTGGTCGGCGGTGCTGACCAGAGCGACCCAGTGCCTGACATACCGCGACCCCGTACTGGGTCACAACCTGAAGTTTGAAAAATGCTGCTTTAGGTTACACCAAGATCATTTTCAAGCTTTTCTCGGCTACCAGGAGGGCTGCTAGAAATGTACATTTTAATGAAAGCTGAGATTCCCACACAATTAACCAATTCTAGATCTTGGGCCTTTAAGAAGAATACCAAATATTGGGACACTCACCAAAAAAAACAAACAAACAAACAAAAACCCCACCAGAGTTGGCAACACTGGGGACATAATAAAAAGATGTAATAATTAATGGTATAGAGATGATATATTGAGAGCACATAATGAGAACATGGGGAGCATTCGATAATACTGAAAAGCAGCAAATTCAAAACTGAGAAAAGGAAATACTTTTTCACACAATACATAATTAAACTGTGGAACTCACTGCCCCGGGAAGTTATTGAAGCCAAGAATTTAGCAAGATTCAAAGGACTAGACGTGTATCTGTATTACAAGAGCATCCAGAGTCACAATAGTTAATGCTAAAAGAAGAGTTTTGGAAGAAAGAGAACCCCAGGAGATACACCCTTCTGGTTCAGGGCTGATGCCGATCTCGGACTTTGAGGGATCAGGATACACATTCATGGGTACAGAGTATTCTGCAGCTGCTACTGTGGGGTTTCTGCGGCTTCCTCTGAAGCACAGTGCTGGCCACTGTCAGCCAAAGGGCACTGGATTAGATGGACCTCAGTTGTGAGGCAGGCTTGGAATTCCTGTGTTCCTACAAAATGGGAGTGAGACTTTGCCAGCGGAGAGTGCAGTGGGGAAAATTCCTAGAGTAAGGAAACAAGGAATGAAAAATAAAAGAGAAACAACTGTGAGCATCTGCTGCAGCCCACAAAACTGGTGGAGAAAGAAGAAAGCAAACCTGCACCAGCTCGCCCAGTGCAGCAATCCCTGCTGTGCTCATGGATCACAACAGAATGAAACCAGCATCCCTGCCACCCCAAACTCTGGAAGGACATGATCAAAGCCAACCATATAATGAAAAGGAAATAAATGACAGTCACCCAGGTCCCTAACTTACACCTCTCCCCTCCCTCCCCGAGGCCTCCTATCCCAACCAGGGCTCTTTCACTCCCCCAGGGCTTTGCCTTCCTCTCCCTCCCATGTTCAGGATACAAAAAAACAAAAAAAAACCCTACATTTTTGATTGACGATTTAATTATTTGCTCCTAGAAAACTGGCCAATGCATTCGATTAGTTCCATGTGCTGCCACCTGATTCCTCATCCCTGCCTCTCTAGGTCACCCTCCTCCTGGTATCCTCCCCCTCCTCCACCACGAGGCTCTTTGGCCTCCCATTCAAAGCCCTGCAGAACACCACCCCTAGCGACTTACTGGCTTTGCTCACGTTCCACCTGGCCCCCTCTGCCAGCCTGGAATGCCCCATTTCCTACACCATGCCCCCGAGCTCGCTGGA